TCAGCCTCCTGAGTAGCTGGGATTACAGGCACGCGCCACCATGCCCAGCTAATTTTTTGTATTTTTAGTAGAGACGGGGTTTCACCATGTTGACCAGGATGGTGTCGATCTCTTCGCCTCGTGATCCACCCGCCTCGGCCTCCCACAGTGCTGGGATTACAGGCTTGAGCCACCGCGCCCGGCCTTAAATTGTATTTTTGTTTTATAGGTCCTTTGTGATTTATGCTTTAAAGGGGTTCTCTTTAGATGTGTTTCCAGGACTTTTTTTTTCAAGATTTAGAGCTTTTAGCAGTTCTTGTAGCGGTGGCTGGGAGTGGCAAATTATCTCAGCATTTGTCTGAAAAAGACTGTATCTTTCCATCATATATGATGCTTAGTTTTGCTGGATACAAAATTCTTGGCTAATTGTTTTGTTTGAAGAGGCTAAAGATAGGGCCCCAATCCCTTCTAGCTTGCAGGGTTTCCCACTCACTTTAAAGGAGAAACGTTTACCAGAGTTGTTATTTAGCATAGAGGCTATGTGGAAGTTTGTATTAGGAGCTGAGAGGCAATAAAATTGGTAACTGACAGGAACTATGCTCAAAGTCTTTAGATTTATCAGCTTTGAGACTTGTGAGATTGGAGAATCCGACTGTGGACAGCTGAAATCAACGTAAACATCTCAGTTTTTACAATGAGAAGCGTACTCCCATTAGCAATCTATGCTCATTGCAAATACGAACAATTCAGAAGACTAAAGTGTAAAGTGAAAGCCCTTGAAACTAAAAGTCCCTGATATTAATACCATTCATTCACCAGAGATAAACACTATTTTAACAATACGTCTTTTCTTCCAGACTGCCAGTAATTGAACAAATATATGATTAACACAAAAAGGATGCCACATGAACTCTTTTAAAATTTACTATATCAGGGAATTAATGTATCTTTTCGAGCCAATAGATACAGGTCTTCCAATTAAAAAAATTAAATTACAATAGGGTGAGATTTGGGGTGCTATCCCTTTCGGAAAGCATCCTCGATGAGGTCATATTTGGAATGAACCTCCACTCCCCACGTCTTCTCTGGGCTCCCGCGGACTCCAGGTTGAGTACTGAATTGTGGATTTTCACACCCAAACCTGTGTTATTTCAATGTCTCACCTGGCTCCTCCACAGCGCAGAAGCTCACCCCAGGTTGGAAGAGCCTCTCCGGGGAAACTCAGCGAAGCGCCATTCAGGGCCCAACTCAAGCCCAAGCCTATCTCCTCCCCAGGCCGCCGCGGGAGACCCCACTTCTCCCAAACCTCACCGGGGCCCCGCCTCTGACTCCGCCCACCAGTCCACGCGCCCCCGCCCCGCCCCAACCCAGGCTCCACCCACCATCCGGGCTCCGCCTACCCGGAACCACGCTGTCGTCCTCGTCCGGGGCTCCGTCCACTGGAACTCGCGCCACTCACCCCACCCCCGACCCGCCCACTTCGCTTGGGCTCCACCCTCCCAGGAAGCTGCGCCGCTCGCCCCGAGCTCCGCCCACTTCGTCCGGGGATTCCCGCGCCGGGAACTCAGGCTGCTAGCCCCGCCCAGGCCACGCCCCACCGCGCTCTTGGCCCCGCCACCCAGAAACTGCCCCGGCCGCCGCACGCTCCGCCCATCCCGCCCTGGGAACGCGTGCGGGCCGCTACACTGCAGCCGCTTCCTTTGCTACGTCAGGTCCAGTCGGTCTTCCTGCGGCCGGGGCCCTGGCTGAGCTAGCCGGCCATGGAGGGTAATGGCCCCGCTGCCGCCCAGTACCAGCCGGCCAGCCCCCCGCGGGACGCCTGTGTCTACAGCAGCTGCTACTGGTGAGGAGGCGCGGGCGCAGTCTCCTGGTCTCCCTGGCTCCTGGGCCGCGAGTCGCAACCGTGGCTCTTCTCTTCCCGGCCCCTTCTCGGGGACGCTCCCGGCGTCGACCGGCGGGTTCTACAGTTTCTGCGGGAGGAGGGAGCGGGAATGGCAGCTCTCGTCTTTTGAGTAGAGCGTGGGCTATTGGATGGGGTTGGGAATTCGTCCGGAATCATAGGGTCGGTAGTGCATTTCCTGTACTTGGTGCTGGTCGGTTGGATTTGCTCTGCAGATCTCTGCTTGGGGGCGAGGAAGAGTGGAGCTCTGAAAACCTTTGAAAGTTACTCTGCTGAAGCTTGTGGGGTTTCGGACTGAGGTGAAGGCTATTTTAATTTTGGAAGAGAATGGAGACACAGAGAGTTTGGTGTAACTTGCCAAGGTCACCCAGCTAATAGCCAGAAATCCAGTTCAGGCTCCCTGACGCCAGAAACCATGATCTTAACCATGTCGTCATTATAATAATGGTTACATTTACACAGCACTTGCTTTAGGCCACGCATTGTTCTGGGTAGTTTGGGTAACATAAATCACTGAGCATCAGGGTCACTCTAAGAGGTAGGTATTGTTATCCTCATTTTAAAGATGCACTGAAGCACAGAGGGCTGCAAGTAATTTGCGCAGGGCCACATAGCTTGTGAATGAAGGAGTGGGAATTTACGGGCAGAGTCTGGCCCTGGAGTCCACGCATTGCATCACTGTCGTAGGCCACCTCTGCAGCTGAAGCACCACCCCTGCCTTGGTCCTTTTTCATTCCCATACCTGCTCTTTTCTGAGTAATGGCTTCTTCCCCAGCTTCCAGTCCTTGCACAGGAAACCTCAGGGCTCTCTCAAATTACTCCTCCCCCTTCTGCTGCTCACTAAACCAATGCCACCAAGAGCTTAACAGATTGTTTGGCTCTGATTGCATGTCAGGCTCAGTGCCAGGTGCTTCCACCGATGTCCAGGAGGTAACTTCTTTTATTATCGTTGTCTTCATTTAACTAGTAAAAGCCTGAGTCACAGAGAGGCTGTTGTGTGCCCCCAGATCACACGTCTAGCAAGTGGTGGTGCTGAAACTGGAACCTCTTTGTGATTCTGAAGTTCACGCGTCTTAACTACGGCACTGTTTTTCTGTCCTTCCTCTCTTCTAAATCCTGTTAGTTCTCCTCCCTAATGTCCATTCATTGTTTTATTCATTCTTTCAATAAATGTTTATTAGGCACTTGGCATATGTGGCACACTTCTGGACACTGGGAATATAGCAGTGAACAAAATCGACAAATTCCCTCATGAAATTTTTGTTTCTTATATTTGGATGAGAGAAAAGCAGACATGGCCAGGTGTGGTGGCTTACGCTTGTAATCCCAGCACTTTGGGAGGCGGAGGTGGGTGGATCACTTGAGGCCAGGAGTTTGAGACCAGCCTGGCCAATAAGCAAAAACCCTGCCTCTACTAAAAATACAAAAATTAGCTGCGCAGGGTGGTGGGTACCTGTAATCCCAGCTACTTGTGAGGCGGAAGCAGGAGAATTGCTTGAACCCAGGAGGTGGAGGTTCCAGTGAGCCAGTGCCACTGCCTTCCATCCAGGACAGCAGAGCGAGACTCCATCTCAAAACTAAACAAGAAAACAACAAAAATGAGTAAGCCATGCTTGGGTGGTGTTAAGTGCTGTGAGAAAAATAAGATAAAGGATGGTGACTTATTTTCTATTAGGCTGTTTTGAGAAGACATTGTTGATCAGGTGATAACTTGAACAGAGATCTGAAGAAAGAGGGTGGGAGCTTTGCAACTTTTGAAGGATGGTTATTTAAGCAGGGAGGATAGCAGGTACAAAGGCTCTGAGAAGGAATCATGCTGTGAGTATGACAGGAACAGCGAGGAGGTTGGTGCAATTGGAGTATTGAAGTAAAGCAGTCTTGTAGAAGAGCGGTAAGAGATGACCACTCTACCACAGGGTTTCTCAGCCTTGGCTCTAGTGACATTTTGAGCATAAAAATTCTTTGCTGTGGGGGCTGTCCTATGTATTGCAGGATGTGTAGCAACATCCTTGGCCCCTACCCACTAGATGCTGTTACCACCCCAGCCCTAGATGTGACAACTGAAGATGTCTCCAGACATTGCTAAGTGTCCTGTAGAGGTTGGGGGGCAAAATCACCTCTTGCTGAGACCCAGTGCTCTAACCTGTCTGAACACATCAGGTAGGACACCACACTACTTTGACTCCTGCAGCTTTGTGTGTGTGTGTGTGTGCGTGTGTGTTTTAAGACAGAGTCTCAGTCTATTGCCCATGCTGGAGTGCAGTGGCGCAACCTTGGCTCATTGCAACCTCCGCCTCCCCAGGTCAAGCCATTTTTCTGCCTCAGCCTCCCCAGTAGCTGGAACTACAGGCGCCCACCACCACGCCCAGCGAATTTTTGTATTTTTAGTAGAGACGGGGTTCCACCATGTTGGCCGGGCTGGTCTTGAGCTCCCAACCTCAGGTGATGCACCCATCCAAAGTGCTGTGTTTACAGGTGTGGGCCACGGTGCCCGGCCGTCCTGCAGGTTTTTTAACTTGAAATGAATGCCTCCTGTTTACTTCTGGGTCGATATGCCTTTCTTGTGCTTGGTGCCTGTTGGTTGGATTTGCTCTGCAGATCTCTGCTTGGGAGAGAGGAAGAGTGGAGCTCTGAAAACCTTTGGAAGTTGCTCTGCTGAAACTTGTGGGGTTTCAGACTGAGGTGAAGGTTATTTTAATTTTGGAAGAGAATGGAGACACAGAGAGTTTGGTGTAACTTGCCAAAGTCACCAAGCTGATAGCGCCAGAAATCCAGTTCAGGCTCTCTGACACCAGAAACCATGATCTTAACCATGTTGTCATTATAGTAATGGTTACATTTACACAGCACTTGCAATAGGCCACGTGTTGTTCTGGGTAGTTTGGGTAACATAAACCACTGAGCATCTCAGATGTTACTTACGCTTCAAAACCCTGCTTAATGATAGTGGCAGCCGGTATTTGTGTGGGACTCTGTGGTTGGCAGAGCAATTCTGATTCTGACTTGTTTTGTGTTTTTCAAACAATTGTGGAGTACCTGCTTTGTGCCAGGGATCCTCCCTGTCTGCATGCATCTCTGACCTCAGCCCATCACGGGGAACTCCTGCAGAGTCCCAGTCTTTCTGCTGCCAAGACGATCAGTTGACAGCTTGGGGCAAATCCACAGCTCTTTCTTTCTTTTTTTTTTGAGTCGCTTATGCTTTTGTTTAGAGTCTAAAGAACATTTCCAATATTATCCAATCACATATTTTGTTTGAGTTTTGATGTAATGAAAATCTGTTTTTCCCTTTCAACTTTTATTTTGGATTTGGGGTTACATGTGCAGATTTGTTACATGGGTAAAGTCTATGTCTTGGGGGTTTGGTGTAGAAATTATTTTGTCACCCAGGTAGTGAGCACACTATCAGATCATTTCTTGACCCTTATCCTCCTGTCACCCCCCACCCTCAAGTAGGCCGCGTGTCTACTGTTTCCTTCTTTGTGTCTATGTGTACTCAATGTTTAGCTCACACTTATAGGCAAGAACATTCAGTGTTTGGTTTTGTGTTCTTGTGTTAATTCACTTGGGATCTTGGCCTCCAGCTCCATCCATGTTGCTGCAAATGACATGATTTTACTCTTTGTCATTGCTGTGTAGTATTCCATAGTGATGATCTATACCACATTTTCTGGATGCAGTTCACCATTGATAGGCACCTAGGTTGATTCTGTATCTTTTCTATAGTGAATAGTACTGTGATGAACATAATGTGTGGATGTGCCTTTATGGTAGAAGGACTTATATTCCTTTCCGTATATACCCAGTAATGGGATTGCTAGGTCGCGTGGTGGTTCTGTTTCAGGTTCTTCGAAAAATCTCCAAACTGCTTTCCACAGTGGCTGAACTAATTTCCATTCCCACCAGTATTTAAGCATTCCCTTTTCTCTACCACCTTGCCCGTGTCTGTTATTTTTTGACTTTTTTTTTTTTTTTTTTTTTTAGGCAGTGTCTCACTCTGTCACCTAGGCTTGCAGTGTAGTGGCATGATCATAGCTCACTGCAGCCTCAACTTCCTGGGCTTAAGTGATCCTCTCACCTAAGCCTCCTGAGCAGCTGGGAGGACAGGTGTGCATCACCACTTTTTTGACTTCTTAAATTATTTTTATTTTTTCGTTCATTTTTATTAATTCTTTTTTTGAGACAGAATCTCACTTTGTCGCCCAGGCTGGAGGGCAGTGGTGCGATCATGGCTCACTGCAGCCTGGTCTCAATCAATCCTCCCACCTCAGTCTCCTGAGTAACTGGGGCTATAGGTATGCACCACCATGCCCAGCTAATTTTTATATTTTTTTATAGAGATGGGGTTGTGCCATGTTGCCCAGGCTGGTCTTGAACTCTTGGGCTTAAGCAATCTTCCTGCCTTGGCCTCCTGAACTGTTGGGAATACAGGTGTGAGCTACTGTGCCTGGCCTGACTTTATTAAATTGTCATTCTGACTGGAGTGAGATGGTGTCTCACTGTGGTTTTCATTTGCATTTCTCTAATAATGACTAGTGTTGTTGAGCATTTCTTCATATGCTTCTTGTTGACTGTGTATATCTGTTTTTACTTTTTTTTTTTTTTTTAGACCGAGTCTCACTCTGTTGCCCAGGTTGGAGTGCAGTGACTCAATCTCGGCTCACTGTAATCTCTGCCTCCCAGGTTCAATTGATTCTCCCAGCTGACCCTCTGGAGTAGCTGGGATTATAGGCATGTGCCGTCACGCCCAGCCAAGTTTTGTATTTTGAGTAGAGACGATGTTTCATCATGTTGGCCAGGCTGGTCTTGAACTCCTTACCTCAAGTGATCTGTGTGCCTTGGCCTCCCAAAGTGCGATTGTAGGCATGAGCCACTGCTCTCGTCTGTATGTCTGCTTTTCAGAAGTATCTGTTCATGTTCTTTGCCTATTTTTAGTGGGTTGTTTT